CGGAGCTTCAGTCCCCGTGATGGAGCTTCAGTGATGGAGCTTCAGTCTCGTGACGGAGCTTCAGTGACGGAGCTTCAGTGACGGAGCTTCAGTCCGGGTGATGGAGCTTCAGTCCGGGTGATGGAGCTTTAGTCCGGGTGACGGAGCTTCAGTCCGGGTGACGGAGCTTCAGTCCCCGAGACGGAGCTTCAGTCCCCGAGACGGAGCTTCAGTCCCTGTGATGGAGCTTCAGTCCGGGTGATGGAGCTTCAGTGACGGAGCTTCAGTCCCCGAGACGGAGCTTCAGTCCGGGTGACGGAGCTTCAGTGACGGAGCTTCAGTCCCCGCGACGGAGCTTCAGTCCCCTTCAGTCCCCGCGACGGGACTTGCGTCCTTGCCGCCACCCAGCAGATGAGTTTTTGTAAACAGTCTTGCCATGTCGTCCAGAAGATTCCTGGAGATCTTTGCAATTCAGCTCCCACCAGCTCCCCGGCAGCCCCTCCCCTGGCCTGCCTCCACGGATCAGCAGAGGGCTGTTTTCAGTGTCACATGGATTGACGCACAGCCTGTCCTCAAACCCCTGTGCGCCTGGCTGTGTCCCTGGAGGTCTGCTGGGTGAAGAGGGGCTCTCTTCATTTTTTTCCTCGTTGCATTCCTATCCCTTGAGCCCTTCCTGACACCAGACGGTGCCCTTCCACCTCATGTCCCCCCCGGAACATTCTGGACTCCTCCACAATGTTTTGGAACTTCATCATGTCTGGTGCTGTTGTATGATTACGTGCTTGCCAGTCCATCTATTGACGGGCCTTTGAGAAGTTTTCAATTTGTGGCAGTTCATTGGCATTTATATCTTTTGGTACAAAAACAAAAAACAACACTTAAGGGCCTGCGAAGATTTCTCAGTGGATAAACGCACTTGTCACCAAGCCTAAACCTGACTGGTCCCTGGAGCCCACGTGGTAGAAAGGAGAGCTGACTCCCACGGCTACTTGCTGACTTCCACATGTCCGTTGTGGCAGGCACACACACCTGCGCACACACACAAATAAAACTATGACCGCCACCAGCTAATTTCTTAGAACGAGTGGAGTGGTGTCTTTGATTACCTTCCCAGTGGAAGCTCAGAGTGTGGCTTCACTTGGAAGTGGGTTTGTCAGTGTAAATATCCAGATAATGTCAAAGCGGACCAGGATGGGCCCACCCCCCAAAGTGCACTCTTTTGCCTCCATCCATCCATCCATCCATCCATCCATCCATCCATCCATCCATCCACCCACCCACCCATCCA